TTTTTTTTTTTTTTTTTTTAAATTATTCTTTAATTTTTGAGACAGGGTCTCACTATGTTGCTGAGGCTTGCTTTGAATTTGTGATCCTTGTGCCTCAGCCTCCTGACCTTTTGGAATTACATATGTGAACCACCATATCCAGCCAGAAGAAATGTTTTAAAACTACATGAAAAACTACATGCACTGATTTCCATCTTCCCCAATGATGTTGGAGACATCTTTTCATGTCAGGAAAATACAACTACATCATCATTTTAAAATGCTTTGAAAATTCTATTGTATGAGAGTCTCAGTACAGTTTAACTACTGTACTGTTTTTGAAGCTTTACTGATTCTTATTTTCATTTATTAAAAAAAAATTTATGTGGGCTGGGGTGTAGCTCAGTGGTAGATATTTGCCTAGCATATGCAAGGCCTTGCATTCCATCCCCAGTAGCACAAAAAAAAAAAAACAAACTGCTGATGTTACAGTAATATGTCAATGAACAGTTGTAGTTATGTCTACACAAATAAGGTAAAAAGAAAACTGTTTAAGTCGAACAGATATTGGAGAGATCCAGTTTTTCTTCACAATGATTCTAAAGAATTCTATTCTCCCTATGAATTTTGGTGTATTATTCACCTTTCTCATCATGGTGTCACCTTAATGACACAGTAAACTGGATGTTTGTAATGTGAGATAAAAATTGAAGCTAGATGCAGTGGCACACACCTGTAATCCCAGTGGGTCTGTAAGCTGAGGCAGGAGGATCAAGAGTTCAAAACCAGCCTCAGCAAATTATACAGGCACTTAGCAACTCAGCAAGACCCTGTATTTAAGTAAAATATTAAAATGGGCTAGAGATGTGGCTCAGTGGTTAAGCACCCCTGGGTTCAATCCTGAGTACCAAAAAAAAAAAAAAAAAAACTTGAATTCATTGGAAATGATTTCTAGTTCTTATCTTATTTTTCAGACAATACTTGAAAGAAAAAGCAATTCAGAAAGCCAACTGAGTGGAACCCAGATGTATGTGGTGGGTTGTTTATCCAATATATTAGCTTACTTAATTTTTGAAAATTTATAATTAAACCACGTTGTTACAATGGAGTTCCAGATTTTTACTTTCATGTTTAGGAAAATAATTGGTTAATATTCTTTTGGAATTGTTTTGACAACTAGTCCTTATGTCTATTTTAAAGCCCTTGCTAACAATTTTCACATGTGGCTTCATTTACCCTTCTTAACATAGGAATCTACTTGCATAAAGAGCAACATAGAATGCCCATCAAATCTTCTGGGCAATGTAGTGTATAACTTAAGATGAGTAGCTCTAAATGACCTATGGCTTTTGACGATTCTTGGTATAAAATTTGTTACTGCTAACTTTGGAAAGGATGACCTTGTGAGAAGTACAACACTAACATTGTTAAATATCATAATTCAGATTGGCGTTGCCATGAATTATTCCCTTGGGAATCCTAACATTGAAAGGCAAAAAATTATTGACTATAATTGGGTTCAGGGATCCCTGAGTAGCTTCTGTGAGAAAACAAAGACTGTGAGTGATATTATTTCAATGTACAACAACATTTCTTTCTTTTTTGTAATTCAACCCAGGACATTTAACCAGTGAATCACATCTTCAGTCCGTTTTATTTTTATGTTTTTAATTTTGAGACAAGGTCATATTAAGTTGCTAAAGGCTGCACTCACTAAGTTGGTGAAGCTAGCTTTCAACTTATGATCCTCCTGCCTCAGCTTCTCATGCAGCTGGTATTATAGGCATGTACCACCATGCCCAGCTATGAAAAAACAATATTAAGAGCAAAGAGACACAAACAAAACCAAGTCCACAGATAGAAAATCTATGAATGCAGAGTACCACAAAGGCCAGCTGTAAACCTAAATTTCATTTTAAAAAAATGTCCACTGCCTGTCAGCACACGTGTGGATCTTGACTTGATAAAGGAAGAATGTATATATCCACCATCAGGAGACGTGTGCAGAGTCATCACATATTTGCATGTACATGTGGATGTATGAATGTGAATGAATATATGTATCAAACAATTTATGTCTTGCATCTTAACCCACAGTCTGTCTTACTTTTTATGGCCTTAATTTTGCTTTCTTTCTTTCTTTTTTTTTGGTGGGGGGGGCAGGATTGAACTCAGGGGTACTTGACCACTGGCCCACATTGTGAGGGCTATTTTGTATTTTATTTAAAGACAGAGTCTCACTCAGTAGCTTAGCACCTCACTTTTGCTGAGGCTGGCTTTGAAGTTGCGATTCTCCTGCCTCAGCCTCCCATGCCGCTGGGATTACAGGCATGTGTCATCATGCCCAGCCAATTGGTGATTTCCCTTGGAGGAGGAGAAAGTACTTCTCTGATGTTTGGAGTGAATGGTACAAGCAGGAGCTGAGGATATATGGAAGGATTTGGAACTAGAAGGCCTTTGTCCTCACCCTAACATTTTCTAGCTATGGGACTTGGGCATATCAGAGATCTGTTTCCTCGTCTGTAACATGGGAGTGTTAACCCTAGCTTTATTCATAAGGTTGATGTGAGGGTGGAATTAACTACCTTCAGGGACTGTACTTTCTAAACCTTTAAGCCTTGTATAGACTTTGATGCTGCAATTCTCCAAGCTGAATGTAAAACAAATGTGACTGTGGCATAATGGTGAACCTATTTCTACCTTTCTATTTACAGTATTCAAGCAGTGTTACTGAAAGGAACATCAGCAGCATTCATAGCCCAGAGAGAGCAGGTGGACCAGAAAGCAACATAAATCGGATTGCTGCTGAACACGACCTGAGCACCTGTCAGTTCTTGCATGAGGAGAATATGCTGTCCCAAGGTCCTTACTGCCAAATTAATCAGATCTTGAAGGAAGCTCACTTCTACAGCTTACAGCAGCGAGGACAGCCCCCAACCTGATGAACTAGGAGCCCCTTATTCCAACTTAAAATGTGTTTATAAAAGCAATTGCATACGCACAAAAAAGATCTTTTGAGGTTTCTGTCTATATTTTAATGACAGGCTTATGGGCCAATTTTGTTGCACCCATGCAATTTCAAAAGGGCTTTAATAAAATGCTTATGATATTCTTTTCAAGTTGGGTGTCAAATTCATATTAAAGTGACAATATGAGGAATCCTCACCTATGCATTAAATCCATTCTATGTCCATTCAGACTGGTATCCACACCTGTCAGTGAGACTCTCCATGTCAAATGTCTTTTTTTTAAAGTATGACTTTTTATTTTTTAAAATTCAGTAGCCCAGTAAAGTATATGTAGTTTTCATTTAAATACTAATAGCCCCCAAAATGTAATTTATATTGCAAAATTTAGAAAACTTCATTCATTTTTGCACTGAAATGAACTGCCATGCTGCCCTTCACAAGATAGATGTTGAACTGAAATTTCTTTTCTTAAGTAATGCCAACAAATAGACCCAGTGTAAGCCACAAAAGTGAAAAGTTCTGACTCCACTGTTCCTAATTCCAGGGAGAGTGTTTCTAAGGGTCTACTATACTCAGATAGCATAGTATCATTAACCCTGCAGAGTGTGCATATCAGGCTTGCTAGAAAACACTGCTCAAGGTTGTCACAGAAGTGCTTAATAATGTTTGGCTTAAACAAATGAGATTAGGAGCTCATGTGATCTCCTTTACAATTCCCCTGATTATAGCTAGATTTCACATTGATAAAGTGTAAGCTATTTGAACTGTTAACTAATGGATCAATAATTATGAAACTATTCATTTTATGTTATAAGAACCCTTTCAAAATGATTATGGGGCCAGTTGCCATCACTAAAATGGACACAATAATGTGGCTTAAAAACAGTGCCCCATGAGCTGAAGTGCCATTAGAAGAAAAAGGCAGTATTCTTTATATACAGAGGGATATGTCCCCATGTTTTGGTCATTTTAAAGAATGAGTAGTGACTTTATAGCAGTGTTGGCTTCCATGGTGAGGTGTGGAAATAATGATGCCTCAGGTTATCTGGCTGAGATGCCAGGGTAAAATTTGTCACCAGATTGAAAGGAAAGTGATTTAAGGTCCAACAAGGCTCTCTTGCTATTTGGAGGTGAACAAAGCAGAAACTAGCAGACATAAGAACTATGGAGAGGCCGAGAGAGGAGTCTTTGTCATCAGGCCAGATTTGAAAAAGACAGAAAGAGATAAGAATGAGATTTTTTAAATGACAGGACAAATGTTTGAAAATGAAAACAGTACTAGAAAAAGGATGTATGATGTGGCATGTGCATACACACTCACACATTTTCCAAATTTCCATGGTTGTTTCATTTAGTGTGGATAAGACTTTAAGGTCAGACACTTGTAGTGGAATTTTAATGTCATGGGGGAACATTGGCAACACTAGTGGCCTCAAATGGAGGAGTAGGCATTGGTTCATCTCTTCTTTCTCAATGAGATGTTTTGTATAAAAGCATTGTTTTCTATTGCTCATGTTTCTATAGGTGGAAAACCAGAAGATTGACAGGAAGAAATTTGAATCCTAACAATTTCCTGGCAGAGAATAGAGAAATAACATGTGGCTACGTTTTCCTTTGTAAAAATAATGTGAACAACATATGAAAGAAGACAGGGTGTTTGAACACTGAATTCACAGGTACACAACATGATTCAGGAAGTCTTGCAGGCTAGGAAGGATAATAGAATGAATCAGACATAATTACCCTATGCTCATATGTAACTATACAACCAGTGTGACTCCACATCATGTACAACCAGAAGAATGATAAATTATATATATATATATATATATATATATATATATATATATATATATATATCTGCATATATATATGATATATAAAAGTGCATTCTACTGTCATATATAACTAATTAAAACAACAAAATAGTATCCTGTTTAGAATGCATAATAAACACATTGTCATTGAAAACCTAAGGATGTAAATTTTCTTTCAATCTCCATTAATTTCAAGATTTGAAACATGAAACTATAATCATGAAGAAGCACAATATTAGGCTGGAGTTGTGCCTCAGTGGAAGACCACTTGACTAAAATGTGTGAATCACTAGATTTGATTTCAAGCACCAAAAAAATAAATGAAGTATTGTGTCCATCTACAACTGAAAAAAAGAATCACAGTATTTTCCAATGTGGGTTCAATCATGGTCAAAGCACTTCAGCAAAAACCTTTTATCCTACAAATTGTATATGCCAT